AAATAGTGTCTTTTGACTCTGTCACACTTAGACACCCCTTCTCGGACTCCTCATCCCTGGTGTCATCCCACTACTAGCAACGATTTGCTCCTTTCTTCCCCTACCCTCCCCTCCCCTCATGTTACAAATATACTCCACCCTTGAATTCTCTGGTTATCGTAGACTTCTAACTTGGGTGACTGTTGTATTTTATAGTAGCTTTGATCACAACACCTACCTGGAGAAGAAGATAAAGGACATGGATGTCGCTGTCATCAATATGGAACAACGTTTAAAAGACTCCTTCACTAACAAGGAAAACACGGTACGATTTATTACGCGGGGTGGGCTTATCTGGTCATTCCTGTTCAGTTTGAACCATTTATTGAATATCTATCTCCAACTCTTCCATTCTCGTTTTTTCTTCCCGCAAAATGGCAGACATGACAACGTTTTCATCCTTTCTCTGCATTTCACTTAAAATTAAACTTCCTAACCAAAGACAAATATTTCTTTTTTTATTTACTACTTTGGAGATTTTTGCGATTCCTTTTCATTAACATTATTTTAACAATTGCACTGGAAAAATGACGTTTGGAATTTGTGGTATTGCCGCCATCGTTGATGGTATTTAGTAAAAGATTCCTCATTCGCTTCCATTGGTAATACCACCAACATGGCCACCTTGTTTCTTGACGCTCTTTTCCTGAAGCCATTTCTGTTAGTCGTAGGACATGTCCCTAACCCCAACAGCGAAACAGCTTTATGTGATAAACGCGACAAGTAGATCGCAAAAAATATATCTGTGAAATATTAGTAATACTAACTTACACCTATTTTATGCTAATTCTATTGTTTTCTTTTGTTTAACTAGCACTTTGAACAATTTAGTAATTAGTGTTTCACGGATATATTGTTTGCACTCTAATAATTGTTGAAGATCTTTAAAATCTAAGAGCTGACCTAAGTGTGCGAGATGTTTTGATCTTCCAGGCCTTGTTCAAAGAACGTGAAGATCTCGATGTTCAAGTCCACGGTGTGGTGACACTCGGACGTGGGATGATTCGAGAGAAGAAGATTGACAAAGGAAAAGAAAATGACTTTGTAATAAAACTTGATAGACTAGAGGACAAGGCAAAGGTGTTGATGAAATGGCCAATAAGAGGATCGTCAAGGTAGGTATTGTAAGTCGATTTTAAGTAGGCTATCAGTACTAGTAACCTCTATTTTTAAATAAGAAGATATAACTAGCTAAAAACTAGTGTGAGCTGCGTCGGTGTAATGATGAAAAGGTAAATTATACACCGTGAAAAGATGAAAAAACTTACTGACGTTTCGGACGCTAGTCCTTCACTCGTCGTACTTCTTTTACTCCGACGAAGGACTAGCGTCCAAAACGTCAGTAAGTTTTTTCATCTTCTCCTGTCTAATTTACCTTTTCATCATTTCTATTTTTGAATGAGATCTTCTATAATCTAACTTGGGGTGCATTCATTTATTTGGGGGGGTGGGGGTGGGGGTGTTGGTTTGGGCATGACCAATCCCTACAAACAGTAATGTAAAACCTTTAGACCCCCCTTTCTTCTGTCTGCATAAAAAAATGACCCTCCCCTTGAAATTTATTGAATTCTTGGCCCTCCCCTTTATGTAGTATGAAATATTTGATAACCCCCTTTTTTGACTGAGTAGAAATTTAATGGCCCTCCCCTGGATTCCTCCTGACCATCCCCCCCNTCCTTCACTCGTCGTACCTCTTTTACTCCGACGAAGGACTAGCGTCCAAAACGTCAGTAAGTTTTTTCATCTTCTCCTGTCTAATTTACCTTTTCGTCATTTCTATTTTAGAAGGTAGTAGTCACCCCCCCCCCCCCCCCCCCCCCCCCTAAAAAATCAATGCTATGCTCTCTAACTAATGAGCCAGCTCTATTTTGTAGTTTGTGTTGTAAACCCTTTTTAGAATCTCCCCAATTTGTACTGCGAAAAAGATCAGAAGGCATGATCTTGATGGTGCATCTTATTTTATTTCTGGGCTCACTTTTCAGCCCAGAGGATCATCACAAGTTCTTGGACGAAATGTTAGCTGAGTTGGAATCTGCTGTATTGAACTTCGAACCCCGCATCAGAAGGAAACAATTGAACTCAGAAGAGATGAAGGTACATAGTAAATAATAAAGTCATCGTTTTCTCCAGGTTCTCTAAGTTTTCCTACCTTTAAAAGTACAATATGTAGTTTGAATTCGACAAAAACCAATTTAGATAAAGAAATATTACACAACTTAAGGATGCTTCTTTTGTGCTAATTTTTTTTTTTTGCAGAACTTGAATGTCGAACGAGATGAACTCGAGACAAAGGTGTACGGTGCTGTAAGTCTTGGTCATGCGATGATAGAAGACAAACTGATCGACAATAAGAAAGAGAAAAACTACCAACAGAGAATCGATGCCGTTGATCGAAAAATGAAGATGTTGATGAGCTGGCCAATCAGGAAGCTGAGTGGGTAAGTGCTGTTTCTGCTTCGGCTTCTCGTGATTAATAACAGATATTTGATACTCACTAATATTATTCATTTTCCATAGCAACAAGGACTATGACAAGTACTTTGAAGACAAGTTGAAGAAAGTCGAGACAAGCGTAGCTGAAATTGAACCTCGTATCAGGAAATCGGCCAACAAAGAGAATAAGGTACAAATAGTTTCCTAATCTGGAAGTGATGGAAAACGATGTTACTTTTTCCTAAATGTTTATGTTCATTGATGACAGGAGTTGCTGAARGAGCGTGAAGACGTTGATGTGCAGGTGTATGGCACTGTTAGCCTTGGTTGTGCTATGATGGAAGATGTGCTGTTCAGTAGCAAGAAAGAGGAAGAATTCCAACAGAGAATGGGAAAACTAGAACAGAAGATGAAAATGTTGATGATGTGGCCCATGAAGGGAACTGACAGGTATGGAGATCAGAAGTAAAATATAGGGCTTGACGAGCAGAAGATGTTTGTACCCAGGTTATACCAAAGTGCACTATGCTTGAATCCATTTTTGT